AGGGACAGCAGGGTCTGGGGGGTGGGGTGGGGGGGCGCGGCCGGTGGGGCAACAGGGCGGGTCAGCCGGGCCGGTTGCAGCTTGGAACCCTTTTGATTAGGTATATGATCAACGGCAGAGCACACACAGCGCAGCAGGCAACCGCCAAGCGTTGGCAAGGCGTTGCCCTGCAGGCTCCGCCACGCCGCGCCCACCTGGCTTTCAAGCCGCTGCAGCTCCCGCAGCTCCTCAGCACCCAGCGCGGCGGCAGCCGGAACGGCGGCCTCTTCTGCCCTGACGCCTACGGACGGCGCATCGGCGTCGGCGCGCGCTCGCTGCAGCATTTCGTAGGCCAGCCCGAGCTGCGCCGTGCACGTGCGAGCGACGTCCTGCCCCACATCACCGCCGCCCGCGTCCGGCGCGCCGCTGGCGGTCCCTGCGGTGGTCAGTAGCGCAAAAGCCTCGATGCTGTTGCGCTGCAGCTGCGTCGCGAGCCGCAGGCGCAGGGCGCGGAGGGCGCGGGGGTCGCACGGCTCTGCAGCGGCGTCGATGACACTGCGGCAGCGCTCCACCAGGCCGCGGGCCAGCTCCTGCGCCGCGGGCATGGGGGTAGAGAGCGAGTGGGCTTGTGACAGGGTTTGCGCGGAGCCTGTCTGCTGGCGCAAGCACGGCAAGGTGCGAGCGGTGCAGCCTGTACAGGCACAGCTGAGGAGGGCAGCCATCGCAAGTGAAGGCAAGGCGCCCAGCAGCCAACCCCCCTGCCGCTCTGCAGCCTGTCGCGCCGCACCTGCTGCCCCAGCCTCCAGGCCACCATGAGACGCGCCAGGTGGGCGTCGAAGGCCAGGCCACGGTAGCGGTCCCGCACTTCCGGCGCGGTCTCGGCCTCGAGGGCCACCTCCTCAAACACACAGGCCCAGGGGGCCGCCAGGCCTGGCGGGGGCGAGGCAGGGGCGGCCGGCGCCGGGCGGCGGATGGTTGGTCGGCGTGATGCATGGAGCGGCGGGCGCAGCCCATGGGTGCGGCTCGTGACCTCTCTGGATTCATGCTACAGTATGTTATGGAGGGAGGTGAATCCGCATGCAATAGAGAAACCGAGGGACACCATCCCTCCCCATGAGCCGTGCCGACGAGCAGCTTCGCCCGTGCGCCTGCAGACCCATCCCCCTTCCACCCGCCCAGCCCCTCACCCAGCACGAGCTCTGCGCCCTCAAAGTTGTCAAGAGTCGCCCACTCCTGAGCGGACTGCGCACGGCGTGACGTATAGTACATGCATCCACGGCGTGCATGAATGCATGCATGGGTGCGTGCACACATGAGAGGGTGTGCATGGGCGTGCGTGTGCGTTTGTGCGTGCGTGCGCGCATGTGTGTGCAGGGTAAGGTCGGGGAATCAAAGGGTTGGCATGGGCACATGGGCTCCACGCATGGCGTGTTGGTGCATGAGTCTGAGAACGTCCGGGGCGCAGGGCACAGCTGACGGCTGAGCTCTGGGGCAGCGGGGCCGGCGCGAAGCCCGCCGCCACGCGGGCATGTTGCGCGCATGCGGCGCCACGGATGTCAGACTAAGCATTCAACATACGCCATGCGGCGGCATGCGATGACAGCTATCCGGGCATGGCGCATGCCGGCCTTGTGCGCGTACCTTGCAGCATGGCGCTCACAACTGCACACCATGGGCCGCGACACCCCACGAAGTGCCGACCCCTCAACAACAACACACATACAGCTGCATCCGCACGCACCTTGAGCGCAAACCCCAGCCGCGTCACGTGCTCCTCCTCTGCCAAGTGTGAGTTCTCGACGTGAGAGAGCACTTCGCACACGCTCTGCCGCATCAGCGCCACCGCCCGGCGCCCACGCAGCGCGCCGGCAGGCGCGTCGGCCGGGGGCTCGGCTGCGCCGTCCTCGCTGGCGCCAGGCGCTGTGTGCAGCGGCTGGGGCGGGGCGTTGCTCAGCTCGACACATGTGTTCTGCGGCAAGTTGGGTTGAGCCCCGCATGTGGGCACCATCTGCATGCTGTGGCCGCCGATGAGGAGTGACCGGGGCCCGCAGCAAGTACATGCGTGCTTGAGCCTCGCGGCTCACGCGTGCGAGAGCCGCGCACCCAGAGCTCGCAACATGAGCGCCACACGCCCTCAGCCTCGGCCTGCTGCAGCTGCGGATGTGCCGCGGCAAGCGTCGCCACGCTGGCTCGCAGCGCGTGGATCGCGATTTCAGGCGGCGCGCCCGCATGGGGCCCGGGCTGGCATATGGTGCCAATTGCCGCATGCAGAGGCGCAAGGATCTTCTCCATGAGGGTCTGGTCGACAAATTTCGCGCGCAGATCAGTCAGATCGGATGACACGCGAATCAATGTCGATTACCAGTATGCTCAGAACTTCAGAACAAATCGAGTTGCGATGATACCGTTGTCAATAAGGCACCGTACCTGATGTGCGCGGTCGTGGTCGAGCTGTTCGCAATTCACTCGCAGCCGCAACGGTTGTGTGACAGGGTTGGTGCGCCGGCTGCATCAGGCTCCAGTCAAGCCAATGAACAGCACACGCAGTTGACCATGATCCTCACCCCACTCGCTTTGGGCAGTCTGCTGCTTCTCGCACACTAGCCACTACTGCACGACCCAGGAGAGACATTGACTACGTACGCCTCCAAGGTAGTTGAGGTATTACGTTTGTTTGTTTGCAAAGAAGTTAGGAACAAGCACGCATAACATTGAAATCATGGTTGCACACCTCGCCTCTGCGCACCTCACCAAGAGGGGGGATTGCAGCATTGCAAAGCGCACTCTGGATCAATTCAGGGAGGCCCTATGAAGCCAATCGGATGGCCGATTTCACCATTGTCGAAGGCACATAGGTGCCTGGGATGCAAGAGCCCGGATGAGGATTAGGATTGTTACAGTGTCCCGCGGTCGCCCGCTCCTGGAGCCATCCAGGCTCGCTCATGCCAGGGACCAAGTCGCGTCCCGCCCTTGTCCCCTCGAAATGAGGTTTACCAGAAGTGGCTCAGATGCATCCCAAATCCCAAAACCCTACAAACAACACCCCTAAGACCCTAAACCCTGCGAAGCATCTACATGCAATAATCCCTGTGGGAGGTCGCCCAAGTAAGGTCGCCCGCCCGCCTGCTCTTACTTGCCTCGTATGAAGGCCGGGGTGAGCTCGCCCCTGCCGCTAATTCTTGATTTATTCATGAATAGGTAGCGAGCAGGTACAACGTTACACACGCTTCTAAACAAACTTTGTGAATGGGGCCAGGTGAGTTGCGTGCGTGCAGATTGGAGACGGCCGTGCGTGTGTTGCGAGATGATGCGGTTGGCTGCTGGCCCAGCCTTAAAGTACTGCAAGGCAGTGAGCTTGCACGTTGAATTTATAGGGTGGACCCCTATTATGAGATGTCTGCTTTGCAGCAGGCGTGCTGCTGTTTTGTACCTGCTGAGGTAACAAGTATCTCCGGTTGACCAAGTCTACCCAATCGGCCCCGGCATATCGTATGCCCAGCATATCGTATGCCCAGTATCCAAATGCTTTACAGCCTGCATAGCAGGAATGGACCTCTCTTATCCTCACACCGCATCAGCTGCTTCATTGATCATGAAACACGCTGCCGTACTGGAGCCTCGAAAATAGAAATGCGAATACGCACTGAGTGCGACCAGCAATGTTGAAAGGCACACCGCCAACTTGATTTACGTGCGAATCAATAGGTTTGTAACATCAAACATTGAAAGATCCGCAGTGTTGCGGAGCGCAGTACGGGCGGCAGGTGGTGCTGCATTAGATCATCTCGGCCACCCTGAGGCTGCTGGGTGGCTCATCAATACCACATCACAACACGTCATTTGTTAGAATTGACTGTCAATATTACCATGGTAAGTGGGCAGCTGTCGTCGTCCATGGGCAAGGCTCCTGGGTGCCCTGTGATGAGCCTGCCACCACCTGCTTGCGGGCGTGCATGGGGCGGCCTCTTCCTCGACGATGCTATCCGCTCGCCGTCCCTGATTATTTGAACAGTAGTATTATTTGAGATCTCGGAAGTTGTGTCCCTGCGAGGTGGCAGCACCTCGCAGTTGACACCGTCCACCCCTGATGAAGGGGCTGATTTGCACTTTGCTTGGTGGATCCGCTGCGTGCTCGTGCTCAGCTTGCAGAGCCACTCGGTTTCAAGTTGCAACTATTTGAAGTTGCAACTAACAACCGTCTGGCCGAACGGCTCATGGAACCCATGCGCCCCCGTCTACTTGCACAGCAGGACCCCACCAGGTTCAAGTATGCCGTGGTGAAGGAGGAGGACCAAGGGCAAGAGCACGAGGAGCAGGCGGCCCTTCACGCCTGTCAAGCAATATGTGAGGTTCTTATTGTTGAACGCCCTACATGCTCCGAGTGTTTGTGTGTGTGTGTATGTGTGTGTGTGTGTGTGTGTGTGTGTGTGTGCACATGTGTGTGCGTGCGTGCGTGCGTGCGTGTGTGTGTGGGCGCACATGCGTGCGTGCTTGTGTGTGTGTGTGTGTGTGTGTGTGTGTGTGTGTGTGTGTGCGTGCGTGCGTGCGTGCGTGCGTGCGTGTGTGCGTGCGTGCATGCGCGTGCGTGCATGCGCGTGCGTGTGTGTGTGCGCGTGCATGCGCGTGCGTGTGTGTGTGTGTGTGTGTGCGCGCGCGCGCGTGTGTGTGTGTGTGTGTGTGTGTGTGTGTGTGTGTGTGTGTGTGTTTGTGACTTTGAATCCACACACCCGACACACCCATCCCAAGTGTCTTTGCCTCCCTCTTGGCACCCTTCGCCCTCCGATCACAGTCAAGAAGGCCATGGCTGACGGGGAGCTGGACGAGGCCGCCTCGTCGGGGCCGCGGCGGCCCCCACTGAGAAGGCCAAGAAGGGGGCCACGCTCATGGGTGGGAGGGGGTGATTTGGGTGCTGCGCTTAGTGCAGGGTTGGTATTTGGGGGGCCATCTGCTGGGGTAAGCGTGGCTAGCTGGTTTCTTGCAACGCCTGGCCCCAGCACGTGCCCCTCTACTAGGCTGCTGGTCGCGCGTCCGACTAGCAGGCGGCGGCTGCATGTGGGGCCGCCCACCGCCACCGATGCCATATGATACGACCCGCACGCCCACCGCCCCGCCCAAACACCAGGCGGCCAGGCGAAGGCGTCAGGCTCCGCCACGCCCGTGCAGAGGGGCGAGGTTGTGGTCGCGCGGAGGGACGAGCCACCCAAGAAGGCCAAGGGTGAGGGGGGGTGAATTGGGGATTCTGCAGCCCTGGGTGGGGGGTTTGTACAGGGGCATAGCTATGCCCGGGCTGCAGCCATGGGTTTGCATAAGGCATAAGGTACGCCTAGTCATAGGGCATGACCTATGCACTTGCCAGTGCAGCAGAGGGTGAGGAGTTTGCATTTGATGCTGTTCGAACGCCCAACGTCCCCAACAAACATTAGGCGACAAGGGCCAGGTGCGCAAGCGCCGGAGGAGGGTGCAGGAGAGCCCCCAGGCCTCGGAGGACGAGGAGGAGGAGGAGGGGCCCGAGGACTCTGGCGAGGAGAGCGACTGCGGCGAGGGCCTCGACTCCATGAGTGAGCATGCCCTTGATTCGTATGCATTGTGGGTTTGCAAGTTCGCGGCTCTTCTCCTTCAGGTGCTCGCGAGATGACAGCTCCGGTCATAGCTCATCTAGTCCATCACTCACAACCACCTGCCTGCCCCGCCCCGCCCAATCCCTCCGCCTTGCCCTGCAGGTTTGGGGGACAGGGTGGCGTCCTGGGCCTCCAGGGCCTCGACCGGCAAGTTCCTGCTGAAGAAGAGTGAGTCGTCGGGTGCAGCTGTGCAAGGGCAGAGCATACGGTACGTCAGCAGAATGTATGCCCCTTGTCAACTGCTTGGTGTGCAGCAATGCAAGGGCGGAGCATAACGTATTTTCATAATGTATGCCCTCTGCCAACTTTGTCCCCTCTCCCACCCCCCACAGAGACTCTCTGTGGGGGGTGGGAGGATCGTCGGACGATCCTGGGGAAGTGGCGCCGCGCGCGCTTCGACGCCAGCGGGGTCAAGAAGCTGCAGCTCAACCTGTCCAACTGCTTCTGGCCGGTGTGGGCCGCCTGCCGCACCCACGCCATGGGCATGGGCTGGGCCTATGACAACACCGAGTTCGCCAACATTCTGCTGCTGGTGAGCATACCTTATGCTCTGGGCAGTGCAGCACAGCGGGCTGGGGCACACCCTATGCCCTGGGCAATGCAACAGAGCGGGCTGGGGCATACGGCGCCCTGTGCTCTGGGCAGTGCAGCACAGGCAGCAGCAGCAGCTGCAGCAGCCCTCTCAAAGAGGGCTGCTGCATGACCGTCCTCACGCCACCCCGCCAACCCAGATGTACCACGAGACCTTTTGCAAGGACCTGCCCAGCCTGAGCGACCCCGCCATCAGGGCAGAGCTGAAGAAGGCGGGCTGCCTCGAGGCGGGCTTCATCCCGGGGGCGTTCCTCTTGAACCACCCGGGGTTCATCGACAAGAAGGGCAAGAAGGCGTAGACGATGGCGAGGTGCGCGGGCCATCACAACCGGTGTAGGGGAGGCCAAGAGGCAGAGCTTGCAGCAGCCCGTCTGCCCGGCATGACGTATGCCCTTTGTCTTGCTTGAGAGCAGCTGGCCGGTGCACTGCATCCATCCCCACCATCCCCGCCATCCCCAACCCTACTTGCCCCTTTGCCTCCCACACACCACCATCATCATCCCAACGCAGTGTTCCCCCAAGGCGCTCATGGGACGAGATGTGGAGGCTTTGGGAGCAGTTGAACGCCCCCGGGGGTGGCATCAAGTTGTGGCAGGCCCCAGATGGTAGTGCTTTGGACCCCCAGAACTTTGTTGGCATGGCTGATAGTAACACCAGTTGCTTGGCTCAAGTGGTTTGTGTGTTTGGGCCGAATGGGAAGAGGTCAAGACTGTTCAGGGATGCAGCCAACCCTGGCCAGATGGGGAGCTCAGCAACGTCTTTGACCAGCTTGGCAGGGTGTTGGTCACCAACAAGGCACAGTACCTCGTCACCCTGAACAACCAAACCTTGCAACAAGGCCTGCCAGCCCACCCCCACGAGCTGCTGGGCTACCAAGCCCACGGCAACGAAGGCCCTGCTAAGCATGGTGCCAACCACCCTGTGCCTGACCTATGACAAAAACAGGGTGAGGGGCAGCCCTGGCTTGTTCTCCAGGGCAAATGGGTATCTCACAGTGACCCTCGGCTCCCACAGGGCAGCCTCCACAGCCCCGACCGGCCTATGTGTGAGCTGGCCCATCCGCTGGTTGCTGGGGCCACGCTTGGGGCTGAATGCGGAGCTCAACCTTGTCCCATCCCCCACCACAATGTTAGAGGTCACCCACGTGTGTGGCAGTGCATGGTGTAGAGTAGAGTGGACCTGGCGCTGGGCACCCAGTATGTTCTAAGGACGAGCGCGGGGGCCAGGGCGGCTGCCCGTTTCCCCGCCGCCCCACCAGTGTGGGGGACCTGGGGCCCCCCACTGGGCGTTCTAGGGACCCTCATGTGACGCCCTTAGGCTGCCCCTTAGGGTGTCGTCGCGCACACATTTTTCGTCGATGACTTTGAGCGTACAGAGGTGGGACCCGCGCGGCTGTTTGCGACCCAACATGGGGGTCTGGTTCCCGTCGCTGCCTCGTCCTGGCCATCGCGTGCGTCCCTGGCCGTCGCTGCTTCCGCCCAGATCCCTCAAGCGCCCCTGTAATGACCCGGTGGGTGTGGCACAAGGCGCTGCTATGTAGGTCGCGGCGCACGCGGGCTAGGTCGTTTTCCTCCACTCCCAGCTGCAGCAGAGTCGGGTCAAGGGCATGTTGCATCCCCCCAGCAACCCCAGCGGGATGACATGCAGGCGGGCGAGTTGGGCCGGCTGTGAGGACAGTCGCTCCATAAGCAGAAGGTGTTGGCTCCCAGCTATGTCGTGCACCCTGTCCAGGTCATAGTCCACAGTGTACTTCAGCTCAATCACATGAATGCATGGTTCTTGTGTGAAGCCCACCTGAGGTAGTTAATTGGAGAGGGGCGTGAAGTGGGCACCCTCACATTGTTATGGACGACGGAGGCCCCACAGATTGATGAGAGAGTTCAGACCACGCGCCTATGTACCGTATCTGCCACGAGCCATGTGTGCATCATTGACTGCGCTGCGCTGCGTCAGCGGGGCCCGTAACGAGCAGCGGGGCACCATGATCAACGACACCCATTTGCAGCGGTGATGGACTCTAACGCAGCTTATACTATTCTTTCGTCATATCATCTCCCGCCTGTGAACCAAGTTGCGTTTCTGCTGTAGCGGAGATCAGAGATCTTCGGAAGCGCATCTCCGTCAGGGGGCGAGGTCACGCGGGAAGCATGAAGGCAGGAAGCAGATGTACAGCGGGAAAACCACAGCAGCGGGCAGCCCCGCACCATAAAGCGTGCCTTGCACGGGCGCATGCTGCTGCACCGCGGTCGCGCTCACTGGCGGCGCGCGTGCGCGCTGAGGCCGCGGTGAGTCACCTGACGTGCGATGTGCATCATGGTGTCTTTGAAAGTGCACCCAAGCAAGCGAGGGGCGGCGGCCGCGGTTGCTAGCTTGCCCTGAATACACACCGCCCAAACGCGACACCACTTCTGGGGACCCTGCACCTGAGCACCACCCCACACTGTGGAGCAAGTGTGTGCGCATGATGTAGCCTGCCTCCGTTTGACAACTGCTGGCTGATTGATGCATGTGGACGGCTGTACGCGATGCCTGTCGGCAGCGGGGCCGGCCGGAGTGGTGTGTTCCCAGCGTCAGCTGCAGCTGCTATTGCAAAAGCTCCCGGACTGCCGACCCGCCGCCGCCCGCGCCCCACTGCGGCCCGCCGCGCCGCAGGGCGGCACCTACGTCGTCACCGGTGACATCGGCGGCACCAATGCGCGGCTGAGTGTGTGGCTGACTGACGCGAGGGGGCAGCACCAGGAGCTGTTTCGCGAGGTGCGAGGGCGCGTGATCGTGCTTGTGTGTGTGTGTGTGTGTGTATATGTGTGAGTATGTGTATGCGCGTGTGCACGTGCGCACGCAAGCACTTGCCCGTTCACGCATCAAATTTGGGGCAGCAGGGTTTGATTGCTGTTTTGGGCCGTGTCAAGGCTCGCATTTGCGAGGGCGGGGGCTTCACGATGGCGTGCGCCTGCCATCGTGCGGGCGGCGCCGGTGTTAAGGGACGCGCGGCGGCCGCGCCTCTAGGGGTGGCCGGCGGCGCAGGCGGGTTCCACCCGTCGGGGGTGACAGCAGCGGGCGCCGGCCACGGCCGCGGCCGGCGGTCACTGGCCGCAGCAAAGGGGAGCGGGGCACAGCAGGTGGTGACTGAAGTGACGCCGCCCGCCTGCCGGGGGCCATGTGTCGATGCCACCCAGCCGCCCGGGGCAGGCGGGCCGCGCACAGCTGGCGTCCTGCGGCCGCCTCCAGAGCGCACGCATGCACAACCCAAAACTCATCAGGGGGCGTCCGCACGCCCACCCCCAAAAAACCCATGCTCTCAACCCACCTTGAAGACCTCCCTCCCCCCTCTTGACACAACAAGTCGAACACCCAGTCGCCCCCTCCAACCGCCC